TATACCTGCCAGTTCTGTTGGTGACTTTAGGGCATTTCAGCAACTTCTGTAATGTTCGCGCATTGCTGCACCCGACTGCCTTGGCGACAAGCGACTCTGTCACGTAATGTTCCCTCTGGCGGGCGCCTATCAGATATTTTCACAGTGTAACTGCTTCATCAATGTTGAGCACGGTTCAAAATCGCAGAAATTCTGAGAATGACGGCGGACTCAAGGACCTGTGTGTCCCACTTCCCATCTTTACGCTCCACTTTTAATATTCAACGAAGATGAGTAAGGCAGATATGAATCCATTTCTTCGCATGGGTTTGGCAAATTTTTGAGTTCTCTTCACCGAAGATAAGTGCTTTGATGGACAGTATACTTCTGCTATATAACTGCAGCACGTGTAAGTCCTTTCATTCGTTTTTCTGCCTCCAGTAAAGTAATTTGGGACGGAGGGTTGAAGTATTTTTGTGTGCTCGCTTCTGTCGCTGCTCTACTAGTCCTGGTTGATACCGCAGTGCGATGGCATTTTACTTCGGTCGGACACTGACGATCAGCCTGCTGAAGATCCTGTCAAGCCCTTTCGTTCAGATTCGAATTTCAAAGGCTTGCTCTATCCCACTCGATCGGGTTTCCGTCATGTTGCCTTTCTTACACCATAATGTCACAAATTCGCCAGAAAATCGACTAACCCATTTTTAACATGTCAGTTACATGATAAGAGATCTAATTTTTCATCTTAACAATCACTGTTTTGCTACCTTTCACCATTCGTATTGTGGCTAGGGCAAGAGATGTCGAGAAATGGCCGACAAAAGGCGCCCCTTCTTAGATGCCGGATAGAAGATTTATCTCCCGAATTCCTAAAAGTAAGTCTGTGCAAATGTTTTCCTGCTTATTTCAGCGGAGAAACTAGCTCGCTAACTAGAGTGATTTTATAGAAGAATTTTTACTTCTCACAGAGCAGTGGTTCAGAAATGGAAGCTTGGTAGTGTTTCTGTTCAAGAGAATCTTCATAAGACATGTACAATTCGGTCAGGAATTCGGGGAATGGTTAAGACCGAAAATATACTTTAAGGACTTGCTAATTTGCAAACCTTCATATGGCAGTCCGACCACCGCGAACGATGGTGGGTGCAGGACTTTGAATTACGTGTCAGTTCGCCTACTGTGAGGCAAACCGCGAGCTCAACAGTCACAGTTCCATCCCGTCCTCACTGTCACCGCACGTTCACTCCACGCATCGGCCGGGTTGATCGCTTGCGAGTCCATGGCACTGAGACTGGCGAACCACTGCCGGGAGCACCAACCTGCGCCCGTCGCACCCACCTCAACTGCTCACACTGTCCACGGATATTCAGTCACCACGGAGGCCTGCTCGGTCATATGCGCCTTCATTAAAATCTGCTGTCAAACAGTGTAGCCCAAACCCTATCATCAGACATTGTTTCACCGGCCCACACACTCCCAGACCACATACTGACCCGCCCTATACGCGCAGAACATTCACAGTTCACGTCAGCCACTGCGCTCGATCCCATCATAAGCCGATCGACAGGCTCGAACAGTCGACGGGTGTCTGGGAGTGGGAAGAGAGAGAGAGAGAGAGAGAGAGAGAGAGGCCGACACCAGGGACTCCATCCTCAGCGCCGGAACCTATCACGACTAACTACGAGTCGTGTCTTGGAAGGTTTTCGACCGAGGGGGCATTTCGATTCGCGTGGCCAGTACTGTGTGCGCGAATGTGTACAATGTCTAACAGCGTTTGCTATGCCAGTATCATCAAACCATGGGCCTCGCAGCCTGTTATGTGCTGGCAGTTCTCTGACACCTGGTTCCCCGCCGGCAGATATGCTTGAACTTCGCTGAGTATACAGGTGGTGGGCATGGCGGCTCAGTCATCCTTGCCCTTCTGACCCCTGTTGGAGTGTTGTTGTTGTTGTTGTTGGTCAAATGTATGTTGTGAACCAGGGGATGTGGTGGCACGCCTAGGTGCGGGTCCGGCCGTGCCAGCCACCTGCGCCCTCCCCCACCTCCGGTCTCCTTGACCCTGTCTTGACACCGACTCCAGGTGGGGAGTAAGGAAGGGAGAGTGCGGTAAGTGCCTCTTTCTCTTTTATAACTTGTCAATTTTTTGAAACCAAAGACTCCCAAACAGACGGTCTAATACGAAATAAGGACTCCGCATACCACGCCTGGCCTCGCGTTAAATTCCAGGGGGTACCTCTTCCCCTATCCAGACTTTGTCCCGAAGCTTCCTAGCTTAACTCTTAGCCTAACACTGACCCTCATAAACCTAGCTCAAACAGAACCCTCCTAGCCCTAGTCCTATACCTACCCCCCACTGGAATTTTGGGCAAGGCTACCTGTAGTAAGGGCGTACATATTCCCGTGTCCTATGGTATGACCATTTAAGAGCTACAAGGATGGGTTATAAACGCATCAGTAGATACTTTACTCTGCTCAGGTATCACCCTAAACTAAACCGGTGGGCCCTTGTTGTATTGCCTGTGCAAGTGCAAGGCCTGCGAACAAAAAGAGGATCCACTT